AGGGGTATGTCCAGGAATATCGCTTTGGTTTTTCTCTCGCAATGGATTATGCTCAAGAAAACTTTAGCAGAGCTGCTTCTTTCACATCCAGAGGACCTAAACATGCTTCCTGGTCAGTCGAGATTATGATAAGAACACACTATCTTACTGTGAAGGCAACTTAAGAAGGCATTTCCTTCTTATTGGAGTAACAGTTTAACTTACAACTGACACGTAATCTTTCTTTCACAACTTACTTGAAATACTTTGTAATGCCAGAAAGAGACATTGGACCTTTCCTATGCAAAAATCATAATTTGTTTCTGTTGTCTTCAGATTTCTACATTAGGCTGCTGTTTTGTTTCAGTTAAAATGCACAGGAGCTGCCAAGGCTGACTTTAGAATGTTCTTAGTTGAAGCCTGTTTTATGTTTTGTTTTTCTTCCAGTGGTAACAAAGCTTGTAAATAGAGGATACCAACCCCACTTGGAGGACTTTCTGCTGCGAATCAACTTCAATAACTACTACAAGGATAACTGACCTCCCTAGAGTAGGATCACTGATAATAGCATGGTAAACCACAAAAAGATAATCCTATATGCTTATTATTTATAGAAGCTTATGCAAATGCCATGCAAGAGGCATTTGTCTTCAGTGAAATAACCTGCCATCTAATAGTTTGAAGAATATAACCACCAGCTTAAAGAATATAACCACCGCATATGGAGAATGATGCATCTTAAAATCCACCACACCTACCAGTTATTTAATCTGCTGAGATTTGATGTTGTCATTATTGCCAAGACAGAAGAGCTGAGTGCCTGATTTTAACAGGGGAGAGAGTGCAAACCTGTATATCTGTGAATGTGTAAATGTTCTATTTTCAGTGTTGTGAATTTCTTGCAATGTAAATATATGTATGTGAAATAAATTAACAGATACTTTCTAGAACTGAGCATGAGGTACAAGTTTTCAAAGAGACATAAGTACCTATTTGATGAGTTTTATTTTCAAGGTGATGATACTGATTTTCAATCTGAACATAACCAATTCCTTCAAGGCTGCTAGTCACAGTGGAAGAGGGCATCATAAAAAACACATTGTGCTAAGGGAGGAGATACGGTATTTGACTATTCAAGCAGTTGATAATTGTTAGGTCACTCATGCCAGACTTAGTTTCCTTATCACTGATCTAAGCTATCCACCTTTTGTGGTGAATATGTAAAACACCTAAATCAGAAATTCAGCATCCCTAAAGTGTAACAAAGCTCAAATTCCAAATATGTTCCAACTGCTGCTCTCAGCTGCAGGATCACATTTTCAATTTACTAATAATTTTTCTGTTCCTTGTCTTTTTTTCCCTATATAGTGAAAAGAGACTATTGCACTTACAACTTCATCGTATGAGAATGCAGTCTGCTTTGAAATATATTCATTTTGAGATCCTGGCGTCTCAGTTGCTTAAAACATGGATACATTATCTGATCAGTGATGACTTACGTAGAAGTACAGGCACAGGCAACATGTTACCAGTACTATGGACCAGTGAATATGATTATTTTCTGATGATGTGTAGGTAGTTTTACAATTTTTATTTTTCTGAAATAGAAATTAAGCATTAGAGTCAGAATATTCCAAGTGTAAACTTGACCTGAGTTTCTGCGCCTGCCCTGGTACCAAAGTCAGTATAAAGATTTGTCAGTGCACAGTTGTAACATACATCTTCTATGCTGTTTATCTGTGCTATATTTAATTAACTAGCTTCTTTCTGCTCTGCAGAACAGTACATTGAAAGAGCACGTGGCTTGCAGAGTGAGCTGTCTGTTGCCTGGACAGGCAGAGAGCTGTTTCTCTGCCAGACTTGCTCTTCAGGAAAGTGTAAGGCCAGGTGTGCACTTGTGAGCTTACCTTCTGTTGCAGGTGCCTTGTCCTGACACCCCACTCCCACTAGGGAGCGCAGCGGTACCTGATGTGTAGGACCTTTGGCGTTATGGTGTATCTATAGAAAGATAGTTTTAGCTTTTCCATGAGCCCAGTGTAGCTCCTGGAGGAAGATCACGCTGCCAACCTGCAGTCTCCTCTCTGGAATGCCTCAGGTGCCTCAGCTGGCCATTGACAGAGGCAGCAAAGAGAGGACAGTAAGAAGAAAGAGAGAAAAAGAGATTCAGAGCACCTAAATTAACCTGGTACCATTATACAAAAGGAGAAGCTCTCTCCCTGTTGACTTCTGAAGGACTCCTCTATGATGAAGGAAAAGAGCAGCAAGATTAGCAATAGCTAAAAATCAGACTTCTCAAATGGAAACCCTGAGCACTGCTGCACATCAGCTCACTGTATACTAACTAACCCAGGATTTACTTCTCTGGTGTTACAAAACTAGCCTATTATTGCTACATTTGTCGCATACTTTCCTTTTGTGAAAGATAACACTAAACCAACACAGAACAAATAGTTTCTCTTACATTTTATCATTTTAAGTGCTTTATTTTTTTTTCTCTTAATCCCTTACACCCTCACCATTGTCATACTTTTAATTTTCAAACATTTATAAATATAGGGATTTTGGGGGGGGGTGGAATTTGGATTGGACTATTGGCTGAGACCTGTTCCAACGTCAACTCTTCTGTGATCTGACTCAGCTTAAACGCTGCTGCTTGAATTTGCATCATATCTCAGGCCTCACCCTGAGCTCTTTAATGCTGATCATTTCACCAAAGTCATCCTTCTTAAAAAAGGCTAACAGCAAAGTTTGGGCTTCAGGCACAGTGTTACAGCGATGACCTGCTTCCTTAGGGACAAGTGTCTTTCTTTACAAACACAAAAAGGGAGCAAACTATGGAAATGAAGGAACCCTCCCTCCCTCCTCCCCCCTTATTTATTGCTGAGCATGATGCTGTATGGCATGGACCAGCCCTTTGGCCAGTTCATGTTGGCTATGTCTCCTTCCCAGCTTCTCCCCTACCCCCCAGGCAGGGGCAGAGCAGAGGAAGAGGCAGCCTTGATGCTGTGCAAACACTGCTTAGCAAGAGCCAAGACACAGCTGTGTTATCAGCCCAAGGTTTAGTTGCCAATCCAAAACACAACCCCACACAGGCTGCTATGAAGAACATTAACTCTGTCCTGTCCAGAGCCTGCACAAAGTAAAATCAGTTCACGTTTGGAAAACACTGCTTGTTTAGAAAGGACATACCAAGAATTACCTCAAATGAGAAAAACTAATGTGTATTTTCAACTCATCTGAGCACTTCAGTATGGAAATGGCTGTAGTAGCTTTTTGGGAAAAAAATAATCTGCATCAATTACTCAGTTTGAACAAACAAAATGCATCTTCACTTGCTATCCTATGGTCTGTTTCTATAAGAAGTTTGAAATCACATCCTGTATCTGTTGACATAAGTTTAATTCCAGTGATGTCAGGAAGAATAAAAGAGGTGTCAGCATAGGTCTCATGGCCAAGTAACTAAGAAGGAGGTGTCTCTTTGTAAAAGGTGAGGTTCCTTACCTTGCCCCAAGCACACTGCCAGGATCCCTGGCGAGGCAGGATTCTGTACCTGCGATGATCTGCTTCTCAGAAAACACTGCAAAAATACAAAGGTGTCTGTGATACAGTCTGGCCATCAGATGTTAACATGGAGTGAATTCTTATAAGAAAGTGAAGTCTGCAAACTGTGGCTAAGAGCAAAACTCTTTCAGAAAACAGGCATGAGAAAGAATATTAAAATTGAATTTTTAATTTTTTTTTAGAAAAGATTCCAAGAAAGCTACTGCGCTTGTTTGGGAAAATTACTAACAAAACCAAAAGAAAAACATCCCACAAAACATTCCAAAGTAAGAGCTGACAGAAAACATTTGGGAATTACAGATTTACAGGCTCATCAAGCAGAGTTATAGTGAGATCTTAAGAGAGTCATGAGAGGACGTGACACCATCCTCTACCAAGTGAGACCATCCAGAGATGTCCCCAGGAGCTTTGCAGTTCATTTTTGTGACCTGGTACCACCTGCTTTGATGCAAGGGTCCTTCCAGCTCCACAGCCACAGACTGTCTGATCACGTGTTTCCATAGAAAGCTGTTGATGCAAGGAGTCACAAATTCATTTTTCATTGTGAGCACAAGTCCATGGCTTTTATACAAGCAGAATATTTGACCAATAAGTATTGCTATTTTCAGGTTTACCTACTGCAAATACAAGCTGTAAAAATCAAGCAGCAATTTATGATTCAAGTATTTAGACTCCCAAATGTCTAAAGCTGTAGTCCCTTCTCTCTGACGAACTGAGCTAAGAGATAAAGTTCTTGCCTGGACAAAATTTGGTCTAACTCTCCTCAACCTCCTGCTTCCATCCTGCTCCAGAAGAACAGAAGAATCAGAGCTGAAACTACTACCTGCATGTTGCAATGAGTGTGCAGGAAGAGCACAAGCTTTCCACTTGGTTTCTTCAGGCACAAACCATCAACATTACTGTTTGCACCACCAAATCAAGCAATTGAGTATCAGTGCAGTTAGACTATGTGCAGTCAGACCCTCTTCATATTCCTACCCACCAGTGAACACACTTCACCTATACAAATATAACATCACTGAGTGGCACACCAAAGCAGTCACACCAAGGGTCTGAATTCATCATTAAAAGCTTTCAAAACCTGTTGCACTTCATCTATCAGCAAAGAATGTACTTAGCAGGAAACACCACCACATTTTCATTTCTCACACTTATGTTCAATTTCTCTTTTTAAAATTGCTATTTCAAAGTATTCCTCTCTCCAGGATTTTAGCTTTAGAGGTACACCATAATTTGTATTTTATATGCAAAATAACCTGGTAGTTAATGCTCAAACTCCTACAGAAATGGGTTATTTCTAGAAGGCAATCAGCTGCATGGGCCAGCACTAGTTGTTGCCCACTTCTCCAAGGTACTTCCTCTTTCAACTATATCATCCTTCCATGTACTAAGCAAATACACCTTCAAGCTTGTCCTTTTCTGCAAGGGTTCCAAAACATTACAGAAAGTGCCATCAAAGATTCTAGCTTGTCACAAGTCATTATTCAGCATCAGTTTCTCCAGGTCTAAGGCAAGACACAACAATGTTTACATTCAAAACATCATCTGCTCTGTTGTAGCTAGGAGGACAAGTCAGTTATCAGTGCAGATTATAAGCACATCCCAACTGTTCTCCCTGTTTTTCAGTAGCTTGTATTTTGAGGAAGACTTAGAAGAGCACAAATCAACCTGAGCTAATACTAAGTTTGCACAGGGCTGGAAGAGGAATTTAGTAGACTTAAACTCACAGTGTAAGATGGTGGTCTCTTTGGAAAAGAGAAAACTTTGCATTAAACCAAACTTTCCCAAGATTTCAGGTACCTGAACCAGTAATAGAGTCCTTTACACAGCAGTTCAGAAAGCCAAGTAGTAACTAACTATGGAACAACCGGTTTTGGCTGATGTGGCAATAATGATGTGGCAAGCAACCTTCCGCTGAAACCTCAACTGAAACATTACTGACAAGTAATTTGCAAGCAAGTCAGCTCCCATCTCCTCCCATATCCTTTATGATCTTTAACACAGGCTCAAATAACATGTCCTGAATGACAACTGACAGTGCCAAGCTTCTCAAAGACTGAATGGTGCAAGACCAGAGAGGGAATGGAAGAATCTCACTGACCAGTGTGAACAAACAGGTACCCCACCTGCACACTTCTTGTACAAGAAGACTCTGTCAAGAGCACATGAATAGCAAAGGAACCTGGATTTGAGTACTGGGGTAGTTTAAGGTTCACACTGATTCAGCTAATTGGCCTTGCCCAAGTCAACTGGCTTACAAACTCACCCATGATTTTAGTAAATATTTACACATGTTGTATGTGAACATACTGAACCTGAATAAACCTTACCACCAGGACTTGCCAGTGCAAATGCATATGATCTCCCTTCATTCTGCTCTTAATGTATTAAACAAAAATAAAATCCCATTGCTCCCCCAAGCCCCGGCCTGCACAAATTCTCTGAAAATAGATAATGATTAAATATCAATCTGAAGGTTCACAAGAAATGAACTTAATTAAATGAAACATAGCTTCAACAAGCAACACTGAATCTATTCCTCCATTAAAGAGAACTAATAGTTCCTGCATAGAGAAAGCAGTAAATAAATATTAGAAGTACTATTAGTTAAGACATCAGACAAAAACAGATCAGATTCCTGACTTGCTCTTTTTGTCTTCACATAACAACTCCATTTGGATGTCTGAAACTCAGCCTGCCTCAACAAAAAATATTGCTTTCTACTTGCAGTGTATGAATACTTGTGGTATGAATAAAGGAAAAACTTTCAGTTTCAAAACATTTAAATTACTGGTATACGGAGACTGTTGATTGTCATCGGTTTGTTCCAATGATCCATGATTGCTTCAAATAAGCACAGGTGAAGACTGCTACAGATGCATCCAAATGCAGGGTTGTTTCAGTAACTTAATAGCACTCTGATGTTTGCCTTGCTGCATTCTTCACTGCTGAAGGAGGGTCAGTCTTCAATTTACAGCAAAAAACAAAACAAGGCAGTTACGAAGATCATGTAACACAGAGCTCTGAAGCCCACAGTGGAGGTTTACTGCTATAGGGTAGTCTGCTTCTGGTCTCTTGGGCACAAGCAGCTGCTGCAGCAGTTGCTCCCTCCTCTTCTGCATCCTCCTTTACCTCCCTGAAATCTTCTGCTTCTTGGAATGGATTCTCCAATAGTTTCAGTACATTTCTTACCTGAAAAGAAAACATTGCATGGTTATGAGAATTCAGAAAGTAAAGGCAAAATGATGTAGAAAAGAACCTCACACCAAATAATGATCGAGTGCATTGTATTTAATACGCAAACCTCAGACAAACCAAATGTTAAATAGATTAACAATATGCATATCAAATAAGCTGAAAACTGTAAAATTGTAGGTGGCTGAGTTTGTATCTGTACAGGACTCAAGCTCAAGTAACTTGAAATACAAGCATCAAATACAAGTCCTTGTGTCATTTCTCACAATTCATTTTCCCATATTCTGCATGTAACAATCCCCCAGCTGAACTCCACAGGTGAAAACCAAAGTTTTAAAAGACAACAGCACAGCAAGAAATGAGTGTACATTAATTCCTAACTCCTTCTCAAGGAAAGCACCATTCTGAAGACATCAAAAGCAGGGTAAGTGTCTTATCCTGGGATCCTTCCCCAAAGGTGGTGAAGTTCAGATTCAGATTTTTAATTCCTTTCTTCATTCTGCAGTCATTAAAACTACAGCTCCCTCAAAAATACCACAGGCCTTTTGAACCATAAATTCCCAATCCCCTTACTGCCCAAGATGCCAGAAGGAATTTCACCAGCATTTCAGTTATCAATAGTACCACTACACATCCATGCAAGCCCAGAGATATATTAAGGAGTAAGAGCATACCTCTGAGAAATCCCCATTTTCAGCTGCTTCTATGGCATTCTGGGCAATATAATTTCTCAGGATATATTTTGGATTGTTGGAATTCATAACCTTCACACGATGAGTGTGCCAAGCATCAGCATCACTAACACTTTCTATTTCTTTTTGCAAACGGTCTCTGAAATCAAGCAGTGAAAACAATGGTTGGGATCAAGAATCACACATAAAAGTTGAAATGTTTCCTTGCCTTGAGATCCTTAGTTTGTAGGTTTTAATAAACATTACATCACCAATAATCCCCTCAGTTTATAAAATGCAGCATGATAACAGATAAAACCCCTTCATTTAAAAGCAGCATTACAGACATCAGCAGGTCCTGACTAGGCTTGAGGAAGCGGCACACCTTGCATATTCTCTGACAAGTCAGACTGAGACACTGGTGCACAGTGTTCTGCACTGCTCCACAAAGACCATCACATTTAGATCTTGTCTTTAAGGATTTCTATGCTTGTTTATTGGTTAAAGCTTTTGACATTCTGTCCAAGGGGATGCAATACAGCTGAGGCAGTCTGAGCTACCTTTTAGCTGGAACACTTGCTAAAACTTTCAGCCCCACTGGAAAACATGATCACAGGCAGCCAGGTGAGGAAGAGAGTCCTGACCTAACCAACTAATGCTCTACTAACAAGGGGTTCTTTGTTAAAAAAAAGAAACATAAAACAACAACAAAAAAACAAAACCCAAACCAAAATAAACAAACAAACCAACCAAACAAACCAACCAAAACCAAACACATTCCCCCCCCCCCCGCCCAAGCTGACACTCAGTTTTTAGGCTTTTAAGTTAGGTCTATTACAACAGTCTGGCCATTCTTTTCCTTCTAATGATTTATTTTAGAGTTACTCCTAGATTAAGAATACTTCTACTTGATTTCTGTATTAATAAATAGACCTTTCTTTCTTTCAGAAAAGAATTATAAGGATAAAAAGCAGACAGGTCAGTCACTTGTAGTTAGTGAGAATTTAACAGCTCACAACTGGAATTACTCTGCTAGAATGTAATGTAAATGTTCTTGAAACATGTTAATACTAGATTTGACACCAGGTGATTCCTATACCCCCAATCCTCCCCAAAATCTAGCATACATAATACAAACATTCACAGCAACACAGATGTAGTTAATATCCAGAGCTGCATGGTCCCACATCTCTCCCAGACTATATACTTTGAGACACTGCATTTTTTGTGAGACAGGCATGTCATTCTCAAATAAAATGAGGAAATGAAATACACTGCTCTGAACAGTGGGAAACCTCACCTGTATTTCTCCAGCCATTCTTTCCAGTGTCTTTTATTTCTGCTGAGTAAATCATCTTCTGTTAACTGCTGCAGTTTGGAGAACTGTTCAATTCGTTCTAGCTCTTTGTTTATATTGGCTTTTGTTCCAATTAGTGCAAACAGCTGAGGATTAGACTGAGCCAGCATCAGCATCATTGACAGTTGTCTGGGAACAAAAGGAACAAACACATTACATACTAACCTTGGGCTGCCCATCAAGAACCATCTTTTTGCAACCATAAAGTAGATATTAAAACATTCACAATAATCAATGATTTCACTGGGGATCTTAAATAACAGCACTTCATTAACAGAACAATTTTAAAATGATAAATTATGCTAATTTTACTGTTTCTCCCCTATTCTTCAGTGTGTGTGTTTGCATTCCTGTCATACTTAAAGTGCAGATTTCCAGAATTCCCAGTGGGTACTGTGCAATTCTCATCAGAATACCCTTGGAACCTTGAAAGGACTTTGGAATAAGGAATTTGAACTTACTTAGGTATCAAGATAATACAGAGTCCATAGATTCTGTGTGTTTTCTATTTCTTTTCCTGACATTAACACTGTATGAGCATGCAGAACAAGGATCCGGTGCCTACGATTTTACCAGATGACATGGGGGAAGGTACCCCATGTAAGCCATATGAGATAACAGTTTGTTTATCTAATTTCTTTTTAGTTAGCCAGTCTAAACCACAGAATGAGAAGTGCTCTGTGGTAATAAATTCCTAACATATCCAGGCTATTTTGCTGTGAGTTTGACTAGGGTCGATTCTTTTCCAGTCTGACTGTGTTAGCTGGTGCTGTACAGCAGCTTTCAATAGTATGCTATGCTTTCATTTTTCCTGGATTCATAACTGCACTACAGGATAAAGTAAACTGAATAAAAACCCCAAAGAGTATAAGTTCGAGCATATCAAACTACTGAATTTTTTTGTTTCCTTCTATAATGTATTTATAAACAAAGGAGAAGAATGCTATTCCCTGGCCCCAAAACAGACAACTCATTATATCAGATACTTCCCTGCTTTTAGTAAGCAAAGATAAGATAGGTGCTTTGATTTCTGAATTTATGTAATAGTATCCAAATCTGATTTACACATCTGACACACCCAGCTCTACAATATCCAAGTGCTTTGATGAAAGTAATTCTGCACGCAATTTAACACAGTGCTATTCCCCTCCAAAGCTTTACGTCCATATCATGATGATTTCACGTTCCTCCAAGCCTGAATGCAGTGTTTAATGAAATACTGTCTTGTCTCTGTCACAGGAGCTACCTTCATATTGCATGGTATCTTCTTACAATACCAAAGTGGCTGAAAACTGGAACTTAAATAAATAAAGGTGGTGGATACCGCTTATTTAATTATCTTTCATTTTAGTGTATCACCTCAAAACTTAAATAACCCATAATACCTCCAAAATAATAAATGGCTACAGCCAACCACAACCCCAAATTTATTCATACAAGTTTCACCCCAATCCATGTTCTCAGCTCCCTGCTTTATGCAAATTATTAACAACACACCAAATTTTTCAGCTATTTCTGTAGATTCATTACTTCATGGAGCACATATTGACCAGAGAGAGGGGAAAAAACATGAACAAAATACTCCCCACTTGAATTTTTTTCCCCATCTGGGAAGATACTAGGAAAAATATGATAAATGAATGGGTCACACTCACTCCTTGGTTTCCACTGCTCCATAAAGTGAAAAACTGCCACAGTCACTGTTATAAAGCAGTTGAACAAAACTGACTCTTTCCACACTCAAAGTAGCTGGACTGCAGAATATGTCCCATCAAATGGGACATGGATGGTACCACACAGTTTTCAGAGCCTGAAGTGTGCATTTAGGTTATACTCAGCTCAGTATACTGGTGGCTGAAAGTGATTTGCTGTCAGTACATCGGCAGAACATGGTACCATTGTTGTTCAAATCCATTTCTTCTATAAAATATTTCTGCATCACTTCACTATCTGGCACTCTCATGGCCTTAGCAGAGACAGATGAGAAAAAGAAAATAAAGGACCAAGCAAAATCTCAGACAATTTTAGCCCTAGAGCCAACTGCTGCAAGTCACTGCCGAGCATCCGCCAGTCACAAAACACACAAGAATTGGCACTGCTGTAGATCATGATGCATCCAGTTAACAGTGAAATAGCAAAATCTAAAATCAGTCAAATATTACACAGCATGCAGGGTTCATTATGGTTATAATGAAACTAAAAGCACAGGCCAAAGTGTTTAAGCAAAGAAGAGTATTACCTTGGATCCATCTGTGGTCTGAAAGCAACTTTCAGTTCATCCACAGAAGCACACTGACTTGTAACCTCTTTTAAGAAGTCTTCCAGTTTTGAAGGATCAGAATCCACCACTGAGAATGAACTCAGCAAGTAGAAAACATTTGTGAAGTCTCCACCTGAAAAGGTGAATTCTATGAATAATACAACTAATGAATCAGCAGGAAAACAGGTCCCACACCTCCTTCCTGACTCCCCCCACAGCAGTACCACTCAGGTCACCACTGTGAAGAGGTTATTTGCCTCTTTCATACACACACATATATATATATATACACACACACACTATAAATGTAGTATAAACTATATTTTGGTTTGACTACAGATACTGATGGGCAGCTAAACAATAACCTTCTGTGCTCTTCACCAACCTGTGAGATGCATGGTTTCGAGGAGTTCTGATACTAGTTTACTATCTTCTTCCAGTTCCAGCTGGATCAGGCCTAGCTTCTTCCTCATCTTCTGTAAATAATGTTTCTCAAATTCTGCATCATATTCCTCTTCCAGGATGAGTTCACTTATTTCCAGGGGCAGCTCTGGAACTAGAGCTTCAGCAAGCTTCCCCAGGTTCCACTTGCAAATCTCTGGCTGCTTGTTGTAAGCATAGCGCCCTGTGTTATCAGAACCATTGCAAATGTGCTCAGGGTCGTATCTACAAATGAAGAAATAGTTAGCATTCTTCTAGTTATCTGGACACCAGCAGAGTGAGAAATATTATTTTTATTACTTTAAGTCTCCCCTAGGAAATTGAAAGATTTTGAAAGAGACTACTCCTTGGTTCTTTTCTCCCAGTCACCTCATTAGATAATTTCCTGCCCTCTCAAACACTGAGAAACCCCACAGGCTACAAGAACAGTCTAACACTTCGATATGTGAATATGGTTAAAAAGAAGTTGAAAAGAAGAATTACAAGGCAACTAGAACTAACTTAACCTATCTTGCCATACAGAAGGTTCATAAATCTGCTTTAGAGTTAACATATTAAAGTAATCGTGAACATCAAGATAGCTCTACACAGCAAATACATAACACACATTTCAAATAATTATGCCACACTGACCTGTCCATAAATCCAAAAGGGCCATAGTCAATGGTTAGTCCAACTATGCTCATGTTATCTGTATTCAGCACGCCATGGCAAAACCCAACACACTGCCATTCAGCTACCAGCCTCGCTGTCCGTTTCGTTATCTAAAAGAAAGTACATTTTTTTCCCCGTTTATCAACACAATATATTTCCAATACATTCTTGTATTTCCCATCATTTCCTAGTCTGAACTGATGTTTCTACAGCTCCAGCAGAAGCAGATTCTGGCAGTATGCCACACACAATTATCTTAAGAACAGCTTGCTTCTCTCCTTCTGTTTCTCAGTCCCCCTTTTCTGTTTGCCTCGTCTTCTTCCCCCTCTACTTGACTGTAAGTCAACCGACAGCTTTAAAATGCACTAGACAGAACACTGAAATTGGGTAAATTGTTTGACAACAGACTTGCCCACTACTGTAGTCATTATACAAATATATTGGTTTGTTCACCACAAATTAAAGACTCTTTAACTACAGGTAGAAGAAAACATAAGCAAAGTCTAAGAAATAAAATTAACTTTATGCAACAAAGCCCAGCATAAGGTCAGCCTTTTGATTTACCTGGTATGTAGGAGTGATCTACAGGAAGGCAAGTGGTTTGCACAAAAGAAAAGATGCCCTGCTATCAAGTTTTAGCACTGATAAGTACTTCCCTCAATTTGCTGAGAGTGGAAAAAAGCTACAAGGTTAAGAAAACCTATTCAAAGAACAACAATTTGATTTAAATGCCACTCTTCACTGAATGCATGTTTCATCAGAGCTCTTCCATTGCCTGACTGAAACTTACTGCTGTGGAATCCTTGACTGCAGTCACAGTGGCCCATTCTTCACAGAAATAGCATAATATTTTAAAGCACTTCTAGTTATTGAATTATATCAGCCCAACTGTCAACTACAACTAGATATGCCCTACAGAATCTAAAATTCAGGAAGCTAACCTGGTTTTCAGGTAAACCTAGCTATTTACTGAATTGCTGCAAATACAAATTTTATGCTGCCATTAGCTAAAACTTTCAAATCAAACTATTTATACAGCTAAAATCACTCACCTTCCCAAACAGTTATCAATGTACAGAAATTTAAAGCTCTCCAGACTGCAGTATATTTTATTAAGGTTTAGAAATTATTTAGTTAACAGAGGAAACATCAGTTCTATGCCTCTGTATTCAAACCCAGAATTTTCCCTTTTTTAAGAGTGTGCAGTTAGGTAAGGAAGAATAAATGGAAAAATCTTGTCCTGGGATAATGTGACAAGGAGTAAAACCCACAAATGACGCCTGGAACAGAAATTTTTGATTCACCTTGAGATGTCATGCTTCCACTTTTTACAACATTCTGATGTTACGAACTTCACCCATTTTTGCTGAACCGGGCAGTCAGCTCCATGTGTCCATAACTGATTACTGGCACACCATGAGCCAGTAATGGGGACACACCCTGCACAAGGGCTCTGTGCCAGGGAGGTGGTAAAACTTAAAACCAAAAGAAGTCTTGGCAATCAGCACTGGAATGCAAGCATTCCAGCAGTAAGGCAATATGCTGATGTCTTTGTATGAATCCACCACACTCTGCCAGAGCAAAAGAGAAATCCCACTAATGATAACACCTAAAAGTAATTAAAGCTTGGGTGCTACTCACAGATGGATATATTGGTTAGAAAGACAGCTTTGCACTCACTTTGACCTTTACTCTTCTTGATCATGTTTTCCTACTACTAGCCATACTAGTAAACAAGTACTGTGTATAGATAAGTAACAGCACTATCTCAAGGGCACAATCATTTAAATTTAAACACACCTCCTACAAATTATTTGAGAAGTACAGATAATGGTTTTTGCATTTGACAGCACTGTCTAGAAAGCAAACACTTGTACTTTTTTCTCCATTTCTTCCACAGTGCATAAAGAAAGATAAAACACATTACAGCTGAGCTGACAGCACATCACCATTACTAAAAAGAGAGATGTGCTGCTCAAATTAGGTAAGGAACTGGGATGCTTTTCAGTATGGAAAATCTCCACTCAGGAGAAAGTGTGAGGATGCAATGCCAGCGCAGGTACCAAGCACGACAGCCACAGGCAGGAGCACAACAAATAAACAAAGAAATGGAAACAGGGGCAATAAAAAAGGATGCCAGGATGGGGGGCAGTAAAGCATTTGCTTCTGAAGAACTATTGCAAGTAGGCTCAGGCTGTGTTAAAGGAAAATAAACCAAACATAACAACGCCCCCCCAACAACAAAAATCAAAACAAGAAAACCCCAAGAAAAGCAAACCAAAACACCCCCCAAACCTAACCAAACCACAAAACAAACACCACCTCCACACCCCCAAAATCAAACCCCACAAAATCCAGAGAATGTCAGATTTTAAGTGTGCCTTTTGACCTCTTACTGGGCTGTTCTGAACATGCATTTCAAACATTTCAATACTAAAACCTGGAGTTAGTGATTTGCAGTCAACATTCCTGTTTGTTTTTTTGCAGTTTGACATTCCTGTAATCTGGAACATAAGAGACAGAAAGGGACTCAATGTTCTCAGTATTTCATAAAATGATGCCTTGCAAGTGGTGTCTTGGTACCATCAACTCGCCATCTGTCAGGGCCAGAATTCCCCCTTGCAGTCTAGGACACTCTCAGAAAATGGAGACAAGCCGTGGGAAGCACTTGCAGAGCAGAGAAACCACTTTCACAGGTGTGATCAATATCAACATTGCTTTCATCAATACACAGTCCTATTAAGAGTGTTTTCTTCAAAGGCAATCAGAGGATACAAGGTATTAACCAACTCCAGTCATCTGTGCTTGCAGATGAAGTTCATAAAGATGACCACTATGGATTTAGGAAGAGACTCTGATCTTTCTTACCTCTTTGAAGAAAGCAGCATTTCTCTGAATACTGTTGTCTGAATAAGCCTCCTGGATTTCTGGATAGAAAGTGCTGATCACATAATCAAGCATCTGTATTCGAATATCATTGCGGTTAACACTGGGACCTTTGCGTCCTGTGTATTCATCAGGAGGTTTGAAAATTTCAAATGAACCAAATCTGGTTTTAAAATAATAAAAACATGTTTAAGTATTATCTGGTACTATTAACGTCATATTACATGCAATAAAACCATCTACTGTTGTAACCCTAACACCACATCATCTCCAGCTTAATGTCAATCCTTCAAATGACCTAGAGAAAAGACCCAAAAGAAGAAAAGATTCCTGCACTGAACCTACCAAGGCTCAGTGAGTCAACACAAGGAAGCATATACATACAACTAAACTGACAGATCAGGATGTACAGTACTGAAAACCAGCTTGTTAAAGTCTCTTACAACCACTTCTACAGAAAAATTCTTTCCCTGAGTAAAGATACAGGAATGGGACTTACTAAAATACCAGACTGTACAGCAAGCATGTAAAATAAGTTTTTCCACAGATATATATATATAAATACACACACACACATATGGATATATTCCTTATGTCTCACCTTCCTCTGATTCTAAGGTTCTATTACCTTATAAGAAGCAATGCAACTTCCTGAAACTCCTAATGTTGTGTGTCAGAGCGGGGACGTTGAACACTTCTCAGGCAGGGAAAGAACACCCAAACTGTGACAGCACAGTATTAGAATAGCTTTGAATTAAGGGTACAGTTAAACCCAACTACCAGCATCAAAACCTCCCATGTATTCTGTGCAGGCACAAATGTGAAAAAACTCGCTGAGGTCTGCAGAACTCAGTTATTCTTCCTACTGGGCTAGCATCTTTAGTGTTTATCTGTCTCTGTGCTATGAAGCCAGCTCATCCCATTCACTGGACAAGAGCAGTAGCTTCCTACATCCCACCAAAAGAGTTCCAAGCCCCCATTGAGGAGGTTTGCAAGAAACAGGCAAGTGTTTTGGAAACATTAAAAATGGTGTTTTAAAAGACTGATGTGCTTGGCTTTAAAGGAATACAAAACCTCAACAAAAAATGCTTCTACCTTATAAATGTAGAAGCTATCCGCAGAACAACTGTACACCTTTCATTTTTTGGATTCCCATCGTAAAATATGTCACGGACAACTTTCGAGTCTGATGTCACACATGTTCCAGCCCTCGTTGTTGGTATTCCGAGGTGAAACATCGCCTCGCTGCACAGAAACTCCCGTATGCTCGACCGCAGGACCTTCCGGCCATCAGCTTGTCTGCAACAAGAGGACATGGACAGTTTTCAGGCTATAAAGGCAGGAACTCCTGTCTACCCCTTAGCAGTGGAGAAACGAAAGCCTAGAAGTGGCACACAGTGTCCATGGGCATATGACAAAGTAGCGGCAGATCCGAAGATAAAAGCTGGACCTTCCAACTTCTGTTAAAGTTCAATTTAGATGGACGCAACACACCTGCAATGAAGACCACAAGTAACAGAAGAAAATAAACCTTTCTGTTACACATATCTCTTCTAATCATTAACTCTGTTGTTTCTATTGACCCAATAGAACCTTTAAAAAAATAATTGGGCAAGTAGAGCTACTTTATTATATAAAAAGAGACTGGCTACTGTTATGGCACTTAAAAAGTAGTATTAGCTGGATCTCTCTGGATAAATAATGTAGAAATGGGGTGTTAAATAGGGGTATGCATGGCAGTTGCATTTAAAAAGCACACAGTCAGCAAACAGCAAACTAGTTTATTCAATAGAGAACAAGTAAACAGCACAGGTGCCAGTGGTTCTGAGCCCACACTCCCAGCACTTCAGGAGCTGCAGGCAAGCAGGAGAGCTGCCCATGGCAGACCTCCAACGCTACGACCATATCTGAGGTTTTCAGTGTGAGTTCCTTAACTTCACTGGAGAAGACCTTCAGAGCACCACATGTATGAAACTGAGGTGTTACTGAGCCTGTGCACAGCCGGAACATAAAATATAGCAAATGCAAGCAGAAAAAATGACCTGAAAGATTAAAAGCAGTGCAGGGTAAACTGACTAAAGCAGACACACATCCCCTGCAGGGATCTGGACAGCATGCCATTTCTGGGGCTTTTCTACCACTCCCTCCCACAGGAAGGACAGAAGAAAGGAAGGATGGAGAAAAAGCACTGCTAGCAGAAGGACCAGCAGCCACAAGACAGGGCTTTAAGCAATCTGGTCTAGTGGAAGGTGTTCCTGCCCATGGAAAGTGGGTTGGAATTGTATGATCTTTAAGGTCCCTTCCAACACAAACCGTTCTATGATTTTAAATACCATTCTTGGGGGGCATAGGATAACACAGCAGCAAGCACTTTTGGCAGCTATTACACACTGCTGGCCCGACTTCCACCACGGTCTGCATCCTCCTCAAAGGGGAGACTCAGAGGAGGATAACCCAGGACAGAAGTAATGCACCATCTGAGGGAGAAGCTGTTACAGTCTTATTTTCCAGAGGAAATTTTGCCACCTTCTGCTTTGGCATCTAAGCATTACACTTGCTGCAGCGAAATAACGAGGAACTCGACGGCTTAAGAGGCGACCTCTGCCCCGGGAAGCGATCCTCAGTACGGAACCACCTGCACCAGCACCTGCCGGTCTCCGGCCCGGCCTTCCCTCACGGCGGGCTGCGGGGTGCCGCTCCCCCAAAACCCAGCTCCACCGGGATCCTCCGGCACCGCCCCTCCCCGCCGGCCCGGGCCGCGGGGCCTTACCGGGAGAAAGGTGTGAGGCCGGCGCCCTTGAGCTGGATCTCCCAGCGCTCGCCCCGCGGGCCCAGCACCTCGCCGAGGTACATGGCTGCGCCGTCGCCCAGCTGCCCCGCGAAGCTGCCGAACTGGTGCCCGCAGTAGCAGTGCGCTGCGGGCTCCGAGCCCTCCAGCAGCCGGTTCCCGCTGAAGTACAACGCCGCCTCGGCCTCCGCCGCCTCACGGTCGCCCGCGGGCTCCTCGAGCCCCAGCAGCGCCAGCGCCGGCAGCGACATGGCCACCAGCCGTGGGTTCTGCAGCGGGCTGGGCCGCACGCGGGAGAAGCAAGCGCCGGGCACGGCCCGCGGCCCGCCGGCCTCCGAGGCGTCCACCGGCAGCGAGCGCAGCGCAAGGTTGTCGAAGCGCAGGGCCCCCAGCCAGCCCGCGCCACCCTCGGGAGCGGCACCCTGCTGCATGGCGGCACCCGCGGGGCCGCGTCGGCACGGGCCTGCCGCCGGCCGCAGCTGCAGCAGCGCGGGGAAGCGGCGGCCGCCGAGCAGCGCCACCGCCATCCGCCTGCCCGCGGGGAGGGCGGGGACAGGGGCGGGCACAGCGGGTCCCAAGGTCTGGGCGGGAGGCGGGCGGCGGGAAACGGTGCACTAGCACCGGGGCGGACGGCGGTAACAGCCGGCCCCGTGAGGGGTGGCCCCCTTTCGTCTGGAGGCATCGCTGAGGGGCTGCTGGCTGCAGCCCACAGGAGCTCGCGGGAGGTGGCTGCTCGCTGCCCCTTTGCTAGTGCCTTGCTACCCGTTATTCAGGGCGCGGAGCGTTCGCCTCTGGTGCGCCTCGGCTGTGAGGAGGGAGCGCCCCTGCGCGGCACGCGTCCCGGCTCGGCGCTGGCCTGGCTGGCGTTAAGATGTCCTGGCTGACGAGGGGAGGGAAGTCAAAGGAGAAGGAGAATTTGGAGAGCTCCCCGAGCCGCGAGGAGAGGGGTGCGCTGGTGCAGGCCATGCTGGAGCACGGCGGGGACCCGTGGGATTATAAAGTCATCGGGCAGGACCCGACCCTGAAAGGTGCGGAGCGGCAGTGGCTGAACTACGTGTCGGTGTACCACCCCAAGGGCGAGAAGAAGTGCTCGGCCCTGCAGTGGCTGTTGTTCGACCTGGCGCGGGCCTTGCAGGCGGCGGTGGAGGAGAAGGAGCAGCGCATCCGGAGCCTGCAGAGCAACTTGCAGGTGGCTCGGAACGAAGTGCTGGCGCTGCGGGGCGACAGCTCGCTGCTGAGCGAGCAGGCTGAGCAGCTGCGCCGGCTGCGGGACGAGCTGCGGGACGAGGCGGCGGAGAACGCCCGCCTGAGGAGGAGGGTGCACTGCTTGGGCACCCTGCTGACGCTGGGGAACGGCTGGGACCAGAAGAAGGTGGCGGCTCTCAGTAAGGCAGACTGGGACCCAGAAGTGTGGGATGGGGATGGCTGGAGTGTGGAAGCGCAGGAAGAGTTATCGGTGCAAGGAGTGGGTGCTGCGGCAGCTAGGAAAGTAAAGCCGGCGGAGGGAGATGGAGACCAGGGAGAGGGGGATATGTCCGGGAAAGAGAAGGTTTGGAGGAAACAGAAGGAGGGGTGGCCCGTGTGGGTGAACCGAATGTGGGCCCTGGAGCGGTGCTCTGCCTTCACGCAGGAGGTGGCGAAGCGGTTGGTGACCGCCATCGGGCTGCCGTGGCCCAAGGTGGGGGCCATCGTTAGAGCCCTGCCTGCTGAGGAGGTGTCAGGGGGAGAGATCTTGCGGCTGGTGGTCAGGAACCTGGGAGAGTACGAGCCCCTCAGGGATAACATGGACGGGGCACCCTGGAAGGATGTCCAGGAGGCGTCAGCCTACGTGTGCGGGAATGTCTTACTGCGGGTGCTAAAGCAGAGGGAGAAGCCAGTGCCCCCTGACTTTGATGTGTTTGGGGTGACCGTGGAGCAGGGGGATGTGGCGGTGCTGGCCTGCCGTGCCCCCGAGCTGCACAAGGGGATTTCCATCAGCCTGGGGGCTAGGTTAATTGGCCGCCCCCTCGGTGAGTGCATGGCTGCCTTGGAGAACATGGGGACCCTGATAGAAGCCGAGGGGCAAGGGGTGGCAAAGAAGGACAGGATGGGGGTGAAGGGGAGGAAGTACATTCCTAGAGGGACAATTTGGAGATATTTAATAAGCCAGGGGATGAATGAAGGAGAGCTAGATAGCCAGCCCACAAGAGTTTTACTTGCCAAAATGAAGAAAATCTTTCAGGAAAAGGGAGTGAAGCAAGAGGAGATTTGGGAAAAACTGAAGCAGATGAATGCATCGGCTCCTCCCCCTATCCCAAACAGAAAGGTATACCCAGCCTTAGGGGACTTTAAAGATTAAGAGCTGCGTCCCCTGGTGTCAGTGGGATTAGCCTCCGCCACACTGACCTGGTGTGCAGGGGGTACATGGGGGTATGATGTCTGTTGAAGGGTAGGGAAATTACTTTCTTAATTGCTATGGGATCAGAAACAATATTGTTAGATAATCAGGGTCCTGCCTAAATCTGTTTGGGTATTGGTAGTGGGAAAGGGCAAAGTAGAAGCCCATTTGTGGATGGGTGGATAAAGAGGGGAGGGAGGTTGGGCAGGAAACATTTTAGGAATTAATTTCCTGTATGAGTTTAAGGTAGATCTGTACAGAGGGAAACTGTATTGCTTTGCTACCTAGAAGTGAAGTGATTGCAGGAGCTCCCAATTCAGCAAAGTGCCAGTCTAAAAGTAAAACAGAATCAGGGGTAGTAAATGTAGTATGGAGAGTATGAGGTGCTTCCAGCCAGAGACACCCCCTCTTCCTGTTCCAGTACCCATAGAGTACTGAAGCACAAAGGGTTATGAGGAGGCTCGGGGGTGCACTGAAGGGTGACTGGACAGGGATCTAAAATATCTGTTTTCACAGTTAGTGTGAAATTCACATACCCCGGGACTGTGGGCTGTGTGAATGGTGGAAGCCCCTTGCAACCCCGGGGGTTACACTAGGTGATCTGTAAAGGTCCCTTCCAACTCAAACCATTCTGTGAACTGTAAATCCACAACGGGTTATGCTTCTGACCCCTGGGAGTGGGCACCACTTGAACAGTGGCAAATCAATTGTGTGGGTCCCTTTAAGGGGGGTTGTGTCTGTTTGTATTTGCTGTTACTGGTAGAATAGCAAGATGGACAGAGGCAGTGGCAGCATCCGAGGCTACTGCTAACATCACTGTTTGATGACTATGTGAAGTATTGAACAGATGCAGTCCTTCAGTCTTAACTGATTCAGATACAGGAAACCACTTTGCAGGTGCTTCAGTCCCCAAGTCCTCTAAGGAGTGAATCAGTTAACTGATTTCTGCCATCCACAGCCCTCCAGGGTACTGGAGGGAGCTCATAGGTGCATCAAGGTGAGGCGGAAGCTAATTGCTGAAGAAAGAAGACTAAGCTGGAGCATTCCTGTTTCTGTGCTGGGCCATGGGAACAAAGAGTTCACCAGGCACCACTGTGGTCCTGCCCCACAGACATGGGAAACGTGGTCCTATCCACGCCCTGGGTATGAAGGGGAGGGCCCAGAGAAAATTTAGGGGTGGCTGTGTTTTGTGGGTTGGGAAACACAAAACTAAATGGAAACAAAAAGGGGGTGGGGTGAGTGTTGTATGTTTTGTTTGTAGATGGGGCCCACTGCCCTGAAACCAAAGGGAATGTTTCCAACATGTTGGTAAGACTGGTCTTCAGGATCACACGTGGCTGTGGGATTGATCATGGGGGTGGAGCACAGTGTCACCAAGAACCATCTTCAAGATGCTCATTGTTGTGCTTAAACATCAACAAGAATATTGTAAAAGCATTGCAGGCCCCGTTCATGTGTTCTTGTGGCTTCTGGGGGTGTAACTCGTGTTGTTTGGTAACTGTGCAGACTGTATATGCATTGCTTCACCTGTGAGGAGAGCGGGAGGATAAGGTGATCTCTGTGGCTCCAGGAGATGTGATGTTACACCTGGTGGCATTACATTCATTTGCCTGTTCTCAAAAGTGGAGTTTTGTTCCAGACTGAGGGACTAACGAAGTCTATGGGCTGAGCAGCCTCGCTGGGATGGGGTGGTCAGACAACATGACAGCATACAGAAGGGAGCTGAGAAGCTGGAGAACAGGTTGCAAGCCTGAGACCACCTTGGCGAGTAAGGAACTGTCAGAACTGGAGACTGAAACTGTGAGCTGCATGTTGTTGCTATGTTGTATCATGAGTTGGTTTCCACAACTACAGTTATATAGCACTTAATCCTGTACAACTGCTATGCAGCACTTAATGCACTTAATCCTGTACTTGTTGGTTATGATAGAAGTCATGTTGTTCTTTATTCTTCTGTATATGCTCTGTTTGTTTCAAAAGGGAAGAATGTGCTCATGTGCCCAATTGAACACCTTGTGTGCATTGCCAGCCTTAACAGTTATGGTGGCCTCCAGCTGGAAGGGATTGTGTTTATCAGCATCCGGAGTGGTCTGTCTGTCCTTGGAGGAGGTCAGCAGACCAGGGGGTGGCTTGTGAGCAAGGTGTCCTGCTGGAGCATGCAGCCCCACAGAGCCAAGGCCCCGGCAGCGCTGGCAGAAGGGTGACAAACAGGTGCCCCTGCTGCTGCCTCCAATATGTAAACTGACAGATAAGGTCCTGCTAGTACTTGGGCAGCTTGCACGGGAATCAAGGCTAATGTGGAATAGTTGTGTCTGATAACTGCAGGAGGTAAACTAAGCCTAATGGGACAACCATGGGGGAGTTGTGGGGAGCCAGGCTGCCTGCGGTCGGTATTTCTGCCAGTAACATTGTGTAAGGCTGCAACTGCCTGAGTTGATGGCACTTGAAATGCCACAGTTACGTGTGGCTGTAACAAAACCAGGACCAGTGGGGAGGAAGTAATTGGAAGCAGGTTGTTTATCTGGGAGGGATTTAGGTGGAGGAGAAGAGGTGTCAGAAAGGCGGCTTCTGATGCTGAGGGATTAAGTCAACTGAAGAAGACCAGAGGGCTCCTGCTGATAGAGGGAGTGTGGGTGCCTACACCTGACAGTGACAGTCACCTGCAGACTCAAGCCCTGGGGGCATTGCCTGGGATAAGCTGCTGAACTGGCTCCATCAGGTCTCTGGCTTCGTGGTGTAGTGTGGGCATGAACCTGCACCTTGGGACTTGCAAAACTGCCATGGAGGGGTGGCTGTGCGTGAGGTGCATTAGATCTGAGATGAAGAGCTCATAGCTTCATAGATGTGCCTTACGATTTGCATAAGCATGTAACTTGGTCACTATTATGATACTTAAGTTCTGGTTATTTTTGTTTCTCTACTTTTCTCATGTGTATTCAGCAGTCAATAAACAGTGTGCCTCAGTTATGTCTTGGGATAACTGGTCTGAGGAGCGGCGTCACACTTCATCACAGGAGTGGTCCCTACTGTGGGAGTGTTACTTCCTACAAGTCTTCCTCTAACAGACCTGGGCATCCTGGAGAGGGATGACCTTACGGGTCCGGCCCAGGAATGCTGCTGTTGGCTGGCTGCCTGTACACAGTCAGACAGGTAGCAATC